TGCAAGCTCTCTGCCAATATTCGTTATCTTTCCATAAGGAAGAAATTTCCTCATTAGTTAAAGGTACTATAATTTCTGCTGGGTCCCTTCCTATTAGCTGACGAAGTCTTAATTTACCTTTTATAATCAAGTCAGAGATCTTTTCTATATATGTTTTCAGTTTTTTATTCTGTTTATGTGGTAGGAATATCCATTCTAATATGATATCTTCTCTCTGCATCAAAATCCCTGAAGGATATTCTCTAGATGGTAATATAACCAGAATACAGTCTAGGTTTGGATCCACACGGTCCACATGTGCTTCTAGTATCCTCTTTTCTACCCATTATAATTCCTTCTCAGCTTCAGCTGATAGTATTTGTGGACTATTCAAGTCCTTATCTCCTTTTAGGGCCATTTTCAAGTTTTTCAAATCATGCCCTTCTACTCCAATTATGGTTTGCAGTTGAGAAATCTCTCCTAGTAATTTTTGAAGATCATTAAGAGTCTGGTAGCGATCTCTTCTGATCTGTACTTTTTGTGGTCTAATTTTCTGTAGACCTATTTTATATCCTAAGTAGTTGATAGACTCTCCTTTTTGTATTTTTTTAGGTGCAATTTGTAATCCCCAGCGAGGTAAAACTTTTTTTACTTTTTCAAACATTTTTTCTAATATTTCTCCTTTAGAGTCAGCTAACAATATATCATCCATGTAATGATAGATTATGGATTGTGGAAACTGTTTACGAATTATTTCTAACGGTTTTTGTACGAAATATTGGCACAGGGTGGGGCTATTTAGCATTCCCTGTGGCAAAACCTTTCATTGATATCTCTTCACCGGTTGAGAATTGTTATAATTAGGTACCGTGAAGGCAAATTTCTCTTTGTCTTGTTCTTGTAAAGGTATAGTGAAGAAGCAATCCTTTAAATCAATAACTATAATAGGCCATTCTTTGGGTATCAAAGAAGGCAAGGGCATTCCAGGCTGTAGAGAGCCCATTGGCTGGATAACTTTATTGATGGCTCTCAGGTCTGTAAGCATTCTCCATTTACCAGATTTCTTTTTGATCACAAATACAGGAGAATTCCAAGGGCTGGTTGATTCCTCAATATGTCCAGCATTTAGCTGTTCCTGAACCAGGCTTTCTAAAGCTTCTAACTTCTCAGAGGTCATAGGCCATTGTCCTACCCAGACAGGTTCCTCTGTTAGCCATTTTAAAGGTAGGGCTTTTGGTTCCTCTGTTTGTTCAGCATTTGTATTTTGTTTTTGTACTGCCTGGATATTTGGTCTCTGTCTTGTATAGTACTTAACAGTATTCTTTCCACAATCATGAGGTCGTCTATGGTTCCTATCTAATACAGGAGGAATGTTAATCTGTGTATTCCATTGCTGTAATAGATCACGACCCCATAAATTTATCACTACATCAGCCACATATGGTCTCAACCTCCCTCTCTGTCCTTCTGGTCCTATACAGTCAATCCATCTCGTGCTTTGTTTTACCTGAGCCAGGGTTCCAATCCCTAAGAATTGAACATTTACCTCATGCAGGGGCCATCTTTGAGGCCAAGATTTATTAGATATGATAGTTACATCAGCTCCAGTGTCCACCAGACCCTCAAACAGTCTATTATTCATCTTAACTATCAATCTAGGCCTATGACTATTTATAGCAGTTTGCCAAAATATACGTTTTTCATTTCCTTCTGTCATGTTTGATTCAACTTCCGTCACTAGTTCGTCATCCAGAGCAGTATGAGTTTTTATAATAGGCACAGAATTTTCTAATTGTCCTGTGGGAGATTGTCTTCCACTGTGACTGGGAATGTTCGAACCACCTGTGACGTGGGGGCCTTCGAGAGGCCCCCCAAGGAGTTTCCCGATGGTAAAGGGTTTCCTTGCTTGTCTCTGGTCGATCTACAATCATTTGTCCAGTGTCTGCCTTTGCCACACCTTCTACATAACCCAGGAGGCTGAGGCCTTCTGTTTGATTCATTCCTGGGGGTGTTACTTCTAGGGAAGCTTTGCCTACAATTTCTTTTTAGATGTCCTATCTTACCACAGTTATAACATCTGACATTATGATATCTTTTCAAACCTTTGGGGATGGCTTCTCCTACCCAAGCTTCTAAGTCACCATAGTAAGGAACTCTGTTATCTTGATATCTTCTCTGACCTTTAGATATGGCTTCTCCTATCCATGCTTCAGTCTTGTTGTCATTATACTCAATGTTGCCTGTATATAGGACCCATTCATCCAAGGGTGCTGATCGCATTTTTAAAGGCCAAAGCACCTGTTTGCATTGAGGATTCGCATTCGTATAAGCTAAAGATTCTATGAGTATTCGCCTAGCATCTATGTCTGGTATCTCTAATTGTACTGCCCTAGATAATCTTTCTAGAAAGATACTAAAACGTTCTCTAGGTCCTTGCTTTATCTTGGTATAGGGTTCTATCCTCTCTCCTAATTCATGAACCTTATCCCAAGCATTCAAAGCTGCTGTATTGCATAGAGACAAGATGTGTTCATCATAGGCAGCTTGGGTTTCTGGGTCAGCATAGAGACCCTCACCAAGAATTTTATCTTGGGGAGCTTTATACCCTTTCTTTAAGCCCTGAAGTTCAAGAGCTTTTGCTTCCTCTCTCCATAAAGCCCTCCATTCTATTTGAGAGGCGCTTTCAAGGACAGCTGATATTAATTGATCCCAATCCTTAGGGGTTACCTTGTTATTCCATGTCCATGATTCTACTAATTGCTTCACATAAGGTGAATGCATGCCATAAGAGACTACTGCTTCCTTTATACCTTTTAAATCTTTCATACGTATTGGTAACACAAGACGAAACGCGTGCAAGCCGGGCGGGTGCCGCCGGGCGGGTGCCGCCGGGTGGGTGCCGCCAGGCGGGTGCCGCCGAGAGGCTCTGCGCGAATGCAAAGTCCCGTGCGGAAATGGGCAAAAAATGTTAAGCGGTAAGTGCCTTCTCAGGTCTGCTTTAGCGGCAAAGATCTCCTTTGCAGTAAGGAAGAGGCAAATGTCCCAAAGCTGTGGTGAGTCCACCTGGTTAAACCCTGCCCGTTGGGGAAGGTGGGGGAGGGGGGCGGCTTCTGCCGCCTGGGGGCAAAACCCAGGTAAATCCCGCTTCTGACACCAGATATTGCGGTAAATAAGGATCAGGATAAACAAATAGGCTGAATAGATGTTTATTCAGGGAGAAATAACTTACAACCTAGACAGATGAACACCAGGAAATTCAACCCGATCCTCTCCTGTCCGAGTCACGCCAGAAAGAGAGCGCCTTCCTGGCCCCCTCCGACCTCCTTTCTCAGGTCACCTCCGCCCATAGCTCCACCCCCCAATGGGCGTGGTCAGTGCTACAGAAGGACTACCTCACTACACTATGGAGTCTTTAGTTTGTAAGAAATATGTTTTAAATTAAAATAGAATTCTATTGTTTCCCCCTTTCTTTTCTCCAGCCCCTCCCAGTTGCCCTCCCTCAAACTCCTTTCACGCCTCCCACTTTCAAGTTGATAGCCTTGTTTTATTTGATTATATGAGTGTGTGTATGCGTGTATATGCACAAATTTTACACACACACACACACACACACACACATGTATATATATGTACAACCTACTGAGTCCACTTTTATTGGTGGTGCATATATGATTTCAAGGCTGGCCACTCTGCATCAGACAATCAATAAGGGGCTCGTCCTTAGGATAGGCTAATTCTCATTCTCCCAGAAGTCACCAGTTGCCTGTAGTTTGTTGTCTAGAGTAGGACTCTACAATGTCCCCCACTTCAGTCCATTGATGTTGCCATTGTTCCAGCCTCGTTTATGCAACTGTTTCAAGAAGAGACTGGTTCATAGCAGACTTCCTGGTGTTCTGCTTCTTGCAATACTTCTTCCTGGATGTCTTCTGTGCATATCCATTGAGCTGAACTCCTCACAATCTGTTACCTGTACACTATATCTGGTTGTGGTTTTCTGTGATGGTCTCCAGTCACTGTAGAGAGAGTCATCTTTGATGAGGCATAGTAGTTACACCTACCTATGATATAAAGATGAAATTTAGAATGTAGTTAGGGCTCATGCTGTTCTAGTAGTGGCTGTTGTGGATTCTTTTCTAAGGTCCAAGACCTCACTAGCCCCTGGAAGGTGGCTAGGTTTTTCTCCTATTACAAAGAAACAGAAATGAAATACACCAACTCTGATAGATATTACAAATATTATGTTGAAAAAGTCACAAGACTTGGTATGACTCCAGTTATACCAAACTCAGCCAAAAACTAAACCATATGATTAGAAGCTTCATGCATAAGTGGTAAACTCTCCAGATGCTCAGGGTCTTTATGAGAAAGGAGCTGTGACCAGGAAGGAACATTCAGAGACATTCCTGGATGCCAGCAATCCCTACTTCTCCACCCAGGGATAATTACACAAGCATATCAAAGCATCTTTAAACATTGTAAGAGATGTAGAATGCCTTTTTTCATATTTTGCTTTAACTAATACTAATGGATTTTGTTTGTTTGCTTTTGTTTTGTTTTTGAGATGAGGTCTCTCTGTGTAGCCCTGGCTGTTCTGGAACTTGATTTGTAGACCATGCTGGCCTCCGACTCAGAGACGCACCTGCTTGTGCCTCCTTCATGCTAGCATTAAAAGCATGCACCACCATGCTTAGTTGTAATTTATTTTTCTTGCCTTTTTCCTTTTCTGTCTGCTGTAATTTCAATGGAGAGGGAGTGAAGGAATGATTCATGGTCTCAGGTTCTTACATGTACCTGGAACTCGAGCATATTCTTCTATTAAAATGGAATTTTAAAAATATCTGAAATCTATGAAATTGTAAGGTAATTCGATATGTACTGCCTAGCCAGTTCTTTCACAAAGGGATGAAAAGCTAATTAAAATTCCTGGCCAGTATTTCATTCCCCCCAAAAATTAAAACCCCAGATTTGTTTAAATGAGACTGATTTTTCTTAAGAACATATGTATCTTTTTGATTTCTTAGATTGTCAGCCATGCCTTTAGTGAAGAGGAGCATCGAACCCCGGCACCTGTGCCGCGGTGCTCTGCCGGAAGGAATCACCAGTGAGCTTGAATGTGTAACCAATAGCACCCTCGCAGCAATCATCCGCCAGCTAAGCAGTCTGAGTAAGTCCCCGCTTTCTCCTCTGGTTATTGGTGTGTTTTACTGACTTCACACAATCCAGTGGGTTTTGACTCAAGGGTGGCAGCTGTGAGGAAAAGAATCCTCCTTCATCACAATGCCTGTGTCTGCCCTAAACTCCCGAAGCCTGCCTCTACATTTAAAGCTGCCATGATGAAAGTACAAGCTTGCTCATCGTTAGAGGACGAGATGTGTAGACTTCGCACCGTGTTAATTTTAATACCTTTTAAGATGAACTTGATTGTGGATTAAACTTTTTTCTTTAGCAAACTATCTTATTAAATTTGACAGGACCTAGTTTTTTTTTTTACCTGTTAGGTTGAAAAGTTAGCATCGCAGTGTAATAGTATGCTGTTGGTATTCAACAGATATTTGCCCAGTTCCAAATAGAAAATAAGCAGGTAAGCTAAGTATTACATACATATTACATATGTTAAATACATATGTAGTTGATTAATAGTGGATACACCTTAAGGAAGGGAAGATTCCATCATTTTATCAGTGAAGATTAATATTAAATACCCAAGGGGTATTCTTTTGGAGACTCAGATATGCGTGAAAAGCCTTTTTTCTTCAAAGCTTTCTGAAATTGTACTATTTTTTCCTACTTTGACTTTTCAATTCTGACCTTTTTTTCTCACTTCGTCTCCACTCCTTTTTAGTGGTGACAGATTTTCACACTTAAAATTTGTAGGAACTGGTAATAGCTGGAAAGTCTCCATGAAATTCTACATTCTGGTATCCTTAAGCACAGAAGGTAGGGTTGTGTGTGTGTGTGTGTGTGTGTGTGTGTGTGTGTGTGTGTGAGAGAGAGAGAGAGAGAGAGAGAGAGAGAGAGAGAGAGAGACATAAACATACACAGAGATCAAGTGCTTTAATGTATTTGTTTTGGAAAAGAACAATTACAGGTAACTATTTCTTCATAAGAATATTTGGTACTGATGTTTTTAAGGAGATTTGTAAATTAAAGATTTCCTCATGAATCTAAGCTAATTAAAATTAACTTTGAGGTAGTGGTTATTCAGAGAATACATTCATTTATATAATTGCAAAAAAAAATTCCTTGCAACTTACTAATAGACAAATGTTTCTATTTGCTTTTGTATATTTTTTGCAAGTTCACTTTCTTGTTTATAGCTAGACTGTCCTCTGCTAACATAAAGTTGAAGTAACAGAAACTGACCTAAAGTTAAAATTTAATAACAAGGCTGCCGCTTGAACTGTGGTGTTCAGCAGGATGTTATGTTAATCAGGTTTATTCTGCCTCTTTGCACACAGTTCCATGTAACTGGCTTTCAGCTCTTGTGATATGCACTCCCCAAACCCCCTCCAGATGTAGCCATGTTCCTGGGCTTGAAACCTGTAGCTGTGTTAGTTACACACAAGGGAACATTCAGAAAGCAGCTGGACTTAGGCTAAGGGTATTTCCTGGGCCCAGGAAATCACAGAGTGTGGGATTCCTTTAAATGTGGGTAGGGACAATAGAAAAAAATGGTATCAGAGTGTTTCCTATCAGAACGACTTAGCAAGTACTGCTGCCTTTGGAGGTGGTAGATAGATAGCCCTTAAAAGCTAAAGGCAGGGGAATGGTTCACCTGAGAGCTTCCAAAAGAACATACATAGCCTTACTAATGTCTTGACTTTAATATAATACATACTAAGTTCATTCTAGATGTCAGTCCTCCAGGTAGAGAATAGTGAGTGTAATTCATTGTGAATCCTAAACCCACAATAGGAACCCATCTGTTACTCTGCTGTGGATTTTGTTGTATTGCACATGGTCATACACAGACTTGGCACTGCTGTAACCATTGCTCATCTATGGCCTCGTGACTGGACCAGCAATGGGTACCTGCCTCTCAAGGATATAAGATTGCAGGAAGCATCCCATAGGTATTCATTGCAACATGGAACAGAGATGCCAACCAACAAGTACAGACCTGTGTGTCTGCATTTAAAAGACAATCTGGGGCAATCAATTCATTTTAGGAAGTTTGAATTAAGAAATGGGACATGCTGTTAAAATGTCATCCCACAATAAGGCGCCATGATGACCGTCTGGGAAACTCAAGTTGTAGAGGAGGCAGATCTGAGAAGAAAGGAGCAGTCAGTGGAGTCTGTATCTCTTGATAGGTCCATAACTCCCTAAACAGCACCACCAACAGGGGACCAGGTGAGCAAATAGCTGAGCCTGTGGGGACATCCCTCATTCAGGCCAGCACACTTACAGCACATTTCAACCTTGTCCTTTACCTTGTCCTCTGCAATTCATTCTGTTTGGTTACCTTGAGTGCACCCCCCCCACTGTGCTTCAGTTTTTGGGGAGTCTTTTATTGATGACTGAGTTCCAAGTGTGTATATGAGCAGGGTGGGGGGCTGCTCACCTCATGTACTCACCAGCAACTTTCTGACTGTTAGGGTGGGCAAGATTACAGGCCAAGTAGAACCGAGCAGCCTGACATTGGTTGCTGAGGCAATGGCTGAGATGGCTCCCCCTTGGGTTCCCCCCCTCGGCATTTATGACCAATCTCACCTCACTGCCCCCATCTCTGCTTTCTGCACTGGCCCTCTATCTTTCTACCCAGGGAGTGGCCCACCATGAGAAAATGGGCTACCCAGCACTAGGATCAGAATTTACAGTGTAATTTAGATCAGTATTGCCTTGGTCTCAGTGGGCTCCAACCCCACTGTACCATCACTGGGCTGAACAAAATGGCACAGGATTGTAACCTCAACACTGGGAAGTGGAGGCAGGAGGATCAGGGGTTCAGCGTCATCCTTGAATACACAGAGAGCTCCAGGCCAGCCTGACTCCATGAGACCCTGTCTTTTATGGTCTTTTCTAATTCATTATCATCAGAAGGTGTTTCTGTTTTTCTCAGTGTTAGGGCTCTGGCCCAGGTCCTTGTGCACTATAGAGCATGAGTCTGTTCAAGTAACCAACCAAGCTGTACCCATCCCTCCAACTTCCCAGGATGTATAACAGAGTCTTAGGAATGCATGAATTTTAGAAAGTCTTTTTAGAAAGCCTTTTTTTTTTTTTGATAAATATTCCATTCTTTATGATGAAGCCAAAGCAGAGTCTTTTAAAAACCTTCTTGGGTCCCTGGATTGTTCAGGCCATCTAGATGAGAAAGGGTACTTTTCTGTCTAAAAACTCCTCCTCCCGTCTACCTTCAAATCCAACTCCTCTCCCTCCCTGCATCACACCCAATCCCTCTCCCTTAATCACATCCTACTCCCTCCCTCCATACATCACACCAACCCCTTTGCTGGCATCCACTACCAACACTTTCAGGTGCAGGTCCAGGTGAGTGATGTTCAGCATCTGGCTTTCCTACAGGTGTGAGAGAAAGGTTGACATCAGGCTATCATGGTCAGTCAGGGGGAGGGTTTTAGTGAGAGCTAAAGGGCTTGCCTTAACCTTACAGTGGCCATCCCTCTCTTGAGAGCAGAGGCTTGCATGGGGGCCCACCATTTTCTTGTGTTCTAGAATAGCCAAAGATACTAGAAGTTACCGAATGGTGGTTGTCTGTCACTCACCTGGTCATTTTGATTCTAAGTTTATTGGAAGCCCAAGATAGTGAGGATTGATGATACAATCCAAAGTCTGAAGAGATGCTGTATTCTGCATGCCTTTGGGGTATCAGCACATTCCTTCAACAGCCTAATTGAACAGCAGCTTTCAAGGATTTTTGCAGCATTTTTTTTTAAGTGAGGTTGTTAGGAAACCTTTACAATGAGAGGATATTGGCTGCTGCTAAGGATAGGGACAATCATAGACAAGAGTGAAGACACTTGTAACTTGAACAGTGTTTGTTTGAAAGACAAAGGCCCACAAGCCTTCAGAGTTTATCCAGTAACATTTACAAAATATTCATTATGAATTTTCCGATTATGTTGGAATGATTCCAGCTTCTAATATAAGAGACTGAAGGAGTGGGTGAGGGAGAAAAGCCACACTGACACAGCTTTGGCTAACTCTGTGTGCCTTGGTGTCCAGCTGAGGAGCGTCGAGCCATTTCCTTCAGATAATGACAGTCAGTTCTGCTCACCAATTAACATGAAACTAAGACTGCTTCTCCACCATTTTGCTTGATTAATAATCTCAAGCTCTTGCCCATTTCAGCCAGCTGCTCAATTAAAATTGCAGTAGCTTGCAATCAGCTCCTTGCTGGTATTATAGTATAATGTTTGTATAAGTTAAAACTTTATTAAAGCTAGAAACTTCTAAGAAAGATGGTTTTTAAACAGTGGAAAGATGAGCCACTGAATAGAAGAAATATGTTTTGTACACAGATCTGATAAGGGATATCAAAAGAATTTAAAAACTCAATATAAGAGAACAAATACTGGGGGATGGAGAGATGGCTCAGTCATAAGAGCACTGACCGCTCTGACAGGACCTGGCCTTAGTCCCCAGCATCCACATGGCTGCCACAACCATCTGTAACTCCAGTTCCAGGGGAATCTGATGCCCTTTCCTGGCCTCTACAAGCACTGCATGCATGTGGTGCACATACATACATGAAGGCACACATTCATACACATAAAGTAAAAATAAATCTTTTTTAAAAAGTGTATAAATAATAGTACACCTTCACCAAGGGAAAATGAGCTAATAAATGCACACAAAGAAGATACTCAATGTTACGTATACTCTTTCCCACCAGCTGCCTTGGTCCCGTTGCTGTTTCAGCCCCCAAATAACACACAAGACACTATATTAATTATAAAGTTGTTGACCAATGACTAGGGCTTCTTATTGACTAGCTTTGTCTTAATTATTAACCAATATCTACCCATCTATGTATTTCACGAGGCTGTGGCTTACCCAGATACCAGCATGATGTTAACTTCTCCAGCATCCTACATCTCGACTTTCTCTGCCTACACTTCCCAGAATCCTCATCATCTCCTAGTTCCACCTATCTTGCTGTCCTATTGGCCACAGTGCTTTATTCATCAACCAATAAGAGAAACA